AGAACCTTGGCTACAGGAATACAGTCCTAAATTAAGCTATTAAAAATAATAATCTATACTTCTCATGTGGATGAAAGATACTATAATGCTTGACTCTGGTTTTCTCCATTATATTTTCTGATGTTCTTCAGCAGATTTTACCAATCCACAAAAAAAAAAATCTTTTGCTACTATCTTTAATAAATCAAACACAACTTACTGTTTAAAAATGAAAGTAATGCTTAAATTGTTCTTTTCTATTTTATTCCCTTACTTCTTCAAGGATTTGCTGCCACCATTTCAGATTAAATACTTCCTCAATACTGCCTTTTTTTTTATCATACTGCTTCCAACACATCCAGCAAGAACATTTAATTTCAGTGCCCTTTGGTCAGAAGACATGAGTAAGCCTTTGCCAGACAGTAAATGAGATATTTACATTTCCATTCTATTAGACACTTGCAGTCTTGCCCCATCCTAAACTGTTTAACCACAATTTTTACTGCAACATTTCACTTCAACAGAAGTGAATGTTTGATGTCATTTAGCATCAATACTGAGTAATGCTTGGCAGATCTTCTCTCGATCTCCAAGTGCTCAGCGTATTTTGAAGCTGGTAACCAAGGAGAATTAATTGCTTCAGCTCAACAAAACCTCTCCAAACTCTCCCCTCCTGGAGTCACCATGATGTCAGTACCAGATAAGCAAGGGAGAGTAAAAAGCTTTCATGATACAATGGCACTTTATTTCAAGCAATGCGCTAAACAGAACTTATTTGGTTACTCAGGCAAGCTGGCCTCTCAAAACATATCATTCTGTGCAATGATATTTACAAATCTTTAATAAATTCATCCAGGATGGTCCAGTTCCTTTAGAAGTAAACTAAAAAAGTTTCACACTTTAATAGTTAATCCCAATGTGCTGGAGCCACAATCCTATGAGGTAACAGGCTAAGGGCTGAACCATGTGTTTGATGCCCAGTCTTTACCGAAGTAGATGCAGCAAACACAGATCTAAAGTACTTTTGTGACATGTGTTTTAAATATGTAAAATCAGGGTAAATACTTTCAACATCATAAAAATTCCACCCTGACAAATATTTCAAAGTACTGAAGTTATTTGACATTCAAATACCACAAAACACTAAGCAAAAACCTGTGAGAAAAAGAAATGTAAAGCACTTACAGTTCATATAAAAATGCATATGCAACAGTAACAGAACCTACAGCAACCACAAGGATGTGGTTTTCTGAGCACAATCAGATAGATTTTCTGTCCTCTTATGTATTAAAAGGAGTGTCTGTAACTAACACAGTGAGCTGAACTGACACACCACAGGAAAAAACTGGCAAGTCACCAGGCAGAGACCAAAAGACAGACAGCTGCTGGAGATCCTTTGGCACCTACATGGAGCAATCCTGTAGTGATGAACTTCTAAGTACAATCCAAAGGCAGCTCATGAGCATCCACAAAATACTAGACTTGCATATCTGTTCTCAGCACTTTCCAAATCCCATGGTGGCTCTTGTCCTATTCCTTTTACTTGTATGTGTTCCTAATTTCTAACTTTGCCCAGTACAGTGATGCTTAGTCCAACTTTCAATCCTATTTCTGCCTAGTTAGCTACAAGTCTACCTCCCCACCTGCTTTCAACAACTACCAAACCCAGTCTCCAGTTCGAGGCTGGACTTTTAATACAAGCCTAGCACATCACTCCACTCAGTGCAAAGGTGCTCATCTCAGTTTGGAAAACAATGGCTTAGTGGCAAGATTTATTCAGTATGGTGGGATCTTCTAACTTGCTACACCCTATACAGTGAAATCCGAAATCCAAAATACAGTATGTCTCTTGCAAATGGAATAGAAAGAAGTCTTCAATATCAAACAATATGGAAACTGTCAGTTTCCCACCTTTTCCTTAAAATTCAAAAGTATCTGACCCATGCAATATTGACATGCTATTTTAACAGTAAATTGGAGGACGGGAAAAAAGCAGTAGGAACAAAGTCTGCCAAATCATTTGCACTCACTGTGTCCTTGCCCAAAAAGTACTGGCAAGGGGTTAACCAAAGGAAAAGCATGCTTTTGCCAATCTAGTACTGTCTCAGCAAAAATATTTGCTTTTACTTTGAATAATAGAGAGTGTCACAGTCTGGAAGAAGATGCTAAGAACAGATGTGAAAATTCAGACAGCTACTGTGAACATTGTTCTTAAACCTTTTGTAACTTCCTTTCCGATATGGTAAAAGCAGTCTTTTGAATACTTTTAACCACCAATTCTGCCTAGAAAGAGTCCACATGATCTCACTGCTCCCTGAGAATGGCTCAGCGAGCCAAGACTGACCTACTTCCACAGCAACAACCACTCAGCCCAAACATGAACTTCCCAAGGGATGGGTACATTCCTCTCCGTCTCAAGCCTGAAGGCTTTTTCCCAACAAAGTTTTGTATATACTGTAACAATAAAATCATTACATAATTTGAGTAATGCAAAAGCCCAAAAAATCAGTAATAACTGATTTTTCAAGTCTTCTCTTAAAAAGCTAATGCATTAATAACAACACAGCTGAAGCTTCTATTCTCAGAGAATTATTTTCAAGCAAGCAGAGTCCCTTTAATCAGTGTATGACCTCTGAATGGTCCAGACATTACAACATATTCCGTCACCAATATCAAAACCACTTAATTTCTAAAATTCAATTGAAAAGGTTTTGGATTTTTACTTTCCATTAAAGAAATGCTTTCTGAATCATTTTAGGAACTGTGTTCTGCACTTAGACAAAGTGAAGCTAAGTGAAAAGTGAAGCTATTTAAATCAATTTTGTATAAAACCAGTGCTTTGATGAAAAATGATGAAGAGAAGGTGAATGTAAGCATGGGAGCTTATACAAATGTTGGTGAAAAGGTATTATAGATACCATATACATACAATTTGTAGAAACCCCTTGAAAAAATCCTGAAACAACAACTAGGAAAAATATATCACAGAACAGCCTGGCAACTATCCAACATTTAAGAGCAAACTTTTAATTTTACTTTTCTGTGTCTTGCAGCAAACAATCCTCAAATATCCCAGTAATCTGTAGCACTTCAGCAGGTCCATTTTAGAGATTCATATCACAGGTAAGTTTCAATGGTATAAAACAGGTCCAATTTTATTACACATTTTTTTCAAAGAAACAAATATGTAGGATTCTAATGTTATATCTTTATATAGATAGCTGTATATTTTATATAAATATATCTTTACATATATATAACAAATTTTCTTTGTTTTTCTACTTTCTTTTCTTGGAGACTTCCCCAGTTTTCTCTTTCCAGGCTACTCAGTAATTAAAAAGGCCAAAAAACCCACAAAATACTATGGCTGGATATCATGAAGTCATTTATAATTTTCCTAAGTCCAACAGGGAAATGTGCCTTTAAGCCTATTCACCACTGGTTCTTCTCATTACACACATACATGAAAATATCTTTCACCGATAAACTCTTAAAACCTCTTGCTGTAAACAAGAGTTTGGATCTACAAGATTCTTAACTTTTCAAATCTGTTGTGGTACCATTACCAGGGCAGGTGATAAGGGGCACATAAAGGGCAATGGAGAGTGAGTGGAAGTTGAAGGTGTAGTGAGGACTGGAGATCTTACTAATGATCTCTCAGAGAGACAATAAAAAAGCATTTTGGACCTTGAAGCATTCTGATATAGATGACTCACAGGTATTACAGGAGCTATTCATATATCTTCAATCTAAAATCTTAACACCTTGATCACTTGAAGCGGAACACAGATTATGTGGTGCTTCAGGAGATATGTACTTCATTACTCAAGAAAACCTTTGGGGTTTGTTTGTTGGTTTTTTTCAATTCCACATAGCAGATGTATTTTCAGAGCAGCAATTTATTAGATTGATGGTATTTGCCTTTGCTTACTGTAGCAATTAAGTCCCACTGATAGAAAAATAAGCCAGATTTTCTCAACTGGTTTGACCTTAAGAAGGTCTCACTAGATGTTCAAGTTTTCTTGGACAACAATTCTTAGCTGTCATCCAGCACATGAGCTACTGGTCAGCATTCACCAAGAGAACTGAGACAACAAACCAAAACTCTTCTCTTTAATCAACATTTTCCCTAAAAAACAAGGTTTAGCATTTTTTTGCTTGTTTAACAGTTTTGATTGTTTTTAAGGTAATAACAGCTCGTTTCAGCACACATGGTGGAGAGGTCAACTTTGTACTAGAAGCAATTTTTTTATAACATCCTTTAGAAAAGCATCCTGTGTTATTCAAGCACTTCAGGTGGGAGCTGTAAAGACAGAGTTAACTTCCTCCACAGTTTATTATCTTCAGAAGTATTGATTCCTAGATGAGACCATACTCACCATTCCATGAGCACTGCTGACTTCTACTAGCATCTGTGATATCTCAATGAGTTTATAGGAGGAATGGAAAGATTAGGGGACAAGCAAGAGAAACAACAGAAGTAATAGGCAGTGAGGACAGAGATGCAAAACTACTTTGGAGCATTATCACCTAAAATAAGTCTCCCTTCATGAACTCTTGTGACCAGGCATCCATGTTTGTCAGTGCAATTTAATGGATACAGACCAACACACCTTTAGGCTTCATCCTCAGATCAACAAAACAGAGAAAGGATTTCTACATGACAAGCAGGTACTGCAGATCAATAGATAAACATTGACATGTATCAGCAATGTGTGTCTCACTTAAAAAAATAATTTTTTTTCAAATAAAAGTTCAAGTTGGCAGCTTTAGGGTATTACTGGCAAAAGATATGGTTGTCAAATAATTTGTCACACCTATAAAAGTGTGGTTAAAATACAAATACAGCATTAGATTCCTTTGTTCATGTAAGTCAAAATATAGTGAATTGTTGAAGCGAAATTTCAGGATTGCTAGCCTCTGGAAAAATAAACAACAAAACATATGTTTAAATAAGCAAGTCCCAACAGTCCCAAAATGTAACAGTAAGATTTTTTTATGGATGTTCTGCACATACTTACAGGTTGAGCAGACTAATAGTGCTCTCACCACAAGCTCACTGAGTAACTTCCACTTCTGCTTCACTCTGGAAGTGACAACTGGAATGAGAATCTCCGCAGGGACATAGAATTGAATCGAATAGGTCACAAAAATCCCAAAGGAGTACAGCATTTTTACGGACTGATATAACCTATTGGAAACATTTACACACATTCATGTAAGTTGTAAACTCTTCATAAAAAAAATCAGCTTGCCAATGGCACTAAGCCTAAATACATATATATTTGAAAAATATTTTTCCCCCAGCAAACACAAATGTTACATTACAACGGCCTAAGAAACTGCAGAAGATAAGCTAACTAGAGTAAATCTTCAAGAAACGGGAAGTGCAGACACCCTTATCACTGCTACGTGTGGCTGAGTAAACAAGTGACAAAGAATTATTCACACTACCAACAGTTTTAAATTTAGATGCAGTTTAAATCCATGCTGCATAAACTACAAGCATTTGTCATAGGTCTGCTTGCAGTCAACTGATAGAAATTATGAGTCTCTTCACATGATTTTCTTTCTAAGAAAGCAACTAAGGACATTATTAAAACTTTGGGTAAGGGTTTGGTTCATTTGTCATGGAGTATTGTGTGTTCACAAATGAGCAAGGGAATATTTATCATAAACAACATTTTTCTTTTTTGCTTCAGTCCTTAAAGAGAGATTGAACTGAAGCAAAGGTAACATGCATAAGTAAGAAAAGAAAAAACAGAAGCAAGGGTAGGGAAAGAACAAGTAGGATCTTCATCTCTGTATCCCTCAAAGTGTTTCCTCTTTGAGTGTTACAGTCTGTATCTGTACAAGTAAATAAAGTCCAGCCACGACTGCTTTTGGCCCCTTGTCCTGTGGCCAAATGGCACAACATGGCAAAATTTGTATCCATACAGCTCAGCTCTTCACCACCACAACAGGATGCCTCCATCATCCTTCCTTCAACATTTTGAAGGATGTGTTGAACACATAGTCAGTAATGGTTTTGAACACTGGAGTGGTGAACTGCTGGTGAACTTGAATAGCCCTTTCAGCTCAGTCTTAGGTGTTTCTCATCTCACAGCTACAAGCTAGATCATCAAGTTTTCCATTTTTTATGATACTAAAAGACTGCTAACAAACCAATAAGGGTTTTTTTTTTAGATGAACAAATACACAGAAGTAATTATTTTATATATATGTATGTATATATATATTTTATATATATATACATTCTATGATATGAGGGAAAAAAGAAAAATATGCTTCAACTAAAAATACATTTTGACTAATAGGTTCTAGAATATCTGTAACAAAGGTTTGACCACCACTGTACACAATTCAGTGAAGCCCCAAAGGCATATTCAAATGGATAAAAAAACTATTATATCAATTTCTGTAGTGACATAATGGTGTAGCTAGTTTAGAAGCCACAGCTTTTGCAACACACTTCTTTTTAGAAATTTCAAGGAAAAAAGAGTCACTTTTCTATCAACTCTGCATGACTGTCCTTATTCCAGAAGCTTAGATGGATTTTAGCCAATTAAAAATAGAAAAACTGACCCGCTACCAACAATTCTAATCCTCAGGCTTCACACCATCCCAAACCTTTACAAAAACAATTTTTAAGATACTCAAAAACAGGATTCAAAACTTTAAATACACAGTTGTTCAAAGTGAGTGTCTCCCTTACACTAACTAATTTTCTATAGATCTACAAGGATTAAAACCTTCCAAATTAGAAAACAATTTTTATATCATTGAGGTGATTTTACTAGTAATTTAATATTATACTCCAATCAGACAAAGACAGCTTCTTAGGTTACCTTTTAATAAAAATGTAAATCATATGTGCTAAACCTCTTTTCAATTCTCCATTTGACATTTCATTGTACCTCTTTTAAGGGTAGAAACATTGGCAAGTACTGTAACAAAACTTGCATAACAATACAGTTAGAACCAATACGGGAATTAATTACACTAAGCTTTCATTTTAACTAGTACCATGTAAAGCCTCGTTGAACTTCAATATACAGTAGTGTTTGTATGGTAGTTAACCTTTGGGATTCACTGTCAGGGAACTGTTGCACAAAGACTCACTGATGTCTTAACAAAGAACAGGTGGTGAAAAGAACCTCCATATTCAGCCTCAAGAAGATGACAAACTAACCATGGGCAAAGAAGAAAATTTTTGCAATGAGGGTGGTGAGCCATGGGCACAGGTTGCCCAGAGAAGCTGTGGATGCCCCATCCCTGGAAGCATTCAAGGCCAGGTTGGACAGAGCTTGGAGCAACCTGGTCTTGTGAAAGATGTCTCTGCTCACAGCAGGGCAGTTGGAACACATAATCTTTAAAGGTCCTCTCCAACCCAAACCATTCTATGATTTTATGAGACCCGAACAAAGGACACTACCAAGTACTAAAGCACAGTTTTTCATAATCTACATTTGCAAATACTGCAGGACTTGGTTCAAACTGATGGTCACATGACAATAATTACTAAGATTCCAAGTAGCTAATTGTATGTAAAATAGAAATGCTACTTATGAAATAAACCAGAATTCTTTGATTCCAGAAAAGAGTTGTAAAAGATCAGCAAAAACAAGCTGAAAACTACTCTTAAAGTTCATTTTCAACATATTCTAAGTAATATATTATGCTGAGTGATAATTTGTACCATCAAACAGCATCTAAACTAGAACTGCACTAAGTGGTTCCTCCAAAAGCACTAATCTAGCAGGATGATTTTAAGAACATGAGCAGTCTTCTATTTAAATTAAACTTAAGCACTTAACCAGTCTAGGGCCTGTGCATGCCTTCCAGTCAACTCATCTGCAAGGACATCAAATAAAACTCAGAAAGCAGCAGAATTCTAATTTAACTTTCTTTACCAGGAAAGGTTTATTTTTAAGCAGGGGTTGTCCAGTTGGAATGAAACACATAAGCCAAGTCTCACTGCTTAGGTACATTCCAGGCTCTTTTGCATGACCATCTTCTTATAAAAACCTCCCCCGCTCCTTGCATTTCTCTAGTACAAACTGGCAACTTACTGGCTTTTTATGTGAGGACCAAATACCAAAATACTGTTCACTGGAAATTTGTTTTGTTAGCACAGGGATTGCAACCTCTTGCCCCTCAGTACTGTATCACGTAGACTCACAGTACGGAACAGCAACAGCATCGTACATCACAACCCCTGGGTGCACCCATGAGCTGCTTCTCCAAATTTTGTTTGCTGCTCTGGGGTACTATCCAGGGTAAGACAAAAACAGATGACTTTGTTAACTGTAGATATGTGCCCTGAGTAGTTTTGAGGTTATTACACTTAAAATGCCAATTTTCTACCCTTTAGAGTACCAGTTTCCATCTCTTTTATTATCTCTTTCTATGCATTAGTCCTGCAAAGCTATCAGGATAAACATCATCATCACATCTGCACTGTAGCCAAGAGCTACTTGAAAACTCATATGTGAATAGCTCTGTTAGACAGCAGGGATGCAGAATAAAGTTCATCGTGTTACTTGCACGAGTGCAATAAAAAGCGACAGTGAGTAGCAATGTTACCTTATTCCACATTCCTCTCACTCCTGCTTTTTTAAGAGCACTTCTCTTAAGGCACAAATAAACCCAGAGCTACCATTTAAAACAAACTTTTCACTAATCTTATAAACAACAAGCACTGCCATGTAATATTCGAAATAGAAGTATTTTTCCTTTCAGATGCATCACACAGACAGAATGGATGCATTAAACATTTGTATATTCCTGGGTTTTTCTAATGTCACAGAATCAGAGAATGGTTTGGATTGGAAGGAACCTCAAAGATCATCTACTTCCAACCCCCCTGCCATGGGTAGGGTCACCTTCCACTAGATCATGTTACTCAGAGTCCCATCCAGCCTGGTCGTCCACACCTCCAGGGATGGGGAATCCACAGCTTCTCTGCGCAACCTCTTCCAGTATCTCACCACCCTTATAACAAATAATTTCTTCCTAATATCTAATCTAAACCTGCCCTCCTTTAATTTAAAGCCATTTCCCCTTGTCTTATCACTACATGCCCTTGCAAAATGTCCCTCTCCAGCGCTCTTGTAAGCCCCCTTCAGGTACTGGAAGGTGGTCTAAGGTCTTCCCAGTGCCTTCTCCAGACTGAACAGCCCCAGCTTCCTCAGCATGTCATAGGAGAGGTGCTCCAGCCCTATGATTATTTTAGGTTCTCCTCTGGCCTTGTTCCAACAGGTCAGTATCTTTCTTGTGCTGAGGACCCCAGAGTTGGATGCAGCACTCCTGGTGGGGTCTCAAAAGAGCAGCGTAGAGGGGGAGGATCACCTCCCTCAACCTGCAAGCCACACTGCTTTTGGGGCAGCCCAGGACACAGCTGGTTTTCTGGGCTGTGAGCACACATTGCCAGGTCATGTTCAGCTTTTTCTCCATAAATACCCTCTAGACTTTCTCCCCAGGGCTAGTCTCAATCCATTCTCTGACCAGCTTGTATTTATGCTTGCGATTGCCTTGCCTTGCACTTGGTCTTGCTAAACTTCTCATGTATCTATGTACAACGAAAGAATACAAATATATATTGAGCAATATCTCCAAAACCCAGAACCACAGGCAAAACAGGAAAACAAAACCTCCCAAAGCTCAAAAAAACAAACCAAAAAAACTTCCCATAAAATGGAAAAAAATTGAGGGACAAATCTCAGTTTTTACAACAGTAATATAAAAACAAACAAGTAAACAAGTAACAGATGAAAATTCTAGCAATCAAAAAAATTCATCCTTCAAGACCCATTTTATTATACTTTCATGTATTAAACACTGGAATCAGACAGGCAATTAAACAAAAATATTAAAAATGCATGGCTCATACTGACTCCAAGGAATGAAAAGGAAGAAAAAGTGAAAAAGTAACACCTAAAAATTAAGAACTTTCTTTACACATGTTCTCCTCTTTTTCAAAGAGTAAAAATCGAGTCAGCACTCAGTTCATTAAAGCAGGGGTTTTTTCCCCACATAATTTGAGATTTCACTACTTCAATAAGCTGCCACAACAGACATTGAACAAGTAGATGCAAGCACATAATCTGTAATGCATTATTTGATTAGAATGAAAACATTAAAATACTTTTCAGTTTTAATACTTGTGCACTGCTGATATGCCTAATTTTAGGCCCATCAGACATAAAAGTACTAAAAAAATTTAGAGTTATCTTTAAATTAATAGTTACAGTATATATATCCATCCATAGACAGATACAGAACAAACAGTGCACCAGCTGAAATTGTCTTCAGTGCTTCTTTAGCATGTGACATGTGGAGCTCTCGCAGCATAAAAAAAAAAAGCTAAAGAAAAATTATAATATCCTTGAGACACTGGCAAGCATAAGCTTCACTTTCCTGATAGGAAGCCATTATTATGTGTTATCCATGAACTTGCACTTGAACTACAAATCCATTCAGCTTTGGTGTCTTACATCCCAGTTGTTTACCTGCTACACTCAGTGATTACACTAAAAAAGGGCATGATATTACCAGGATATCCAAGGTAAAAGTAGCTGTTTTCAGAACTGTGTTATAGCTGGTTGCAAACTGCATATTCTCCCCTTGAACAGTCCAGGAACTAGCTTCTGCTAGAGATGGAATAATTTATAATAAAGATCATTGATCTGTCTCCATATTCAAGTCCTTTTAATACGCAAGAAATTGCTGGCTAGGATCATAGCTCTAATGTAGAAGGCACAGACACAGTACATACATTGTAAGTCTGAGCATCTATCAATTATAAGCCTGACAGCACTGAGGCACGGAATAATCTTTGCAACATTCATGCCTTCTAGATTACTGCTTTTAAGTCACATGCACACTTACCATTTATCTTGTGGCAGGTTTAAAGTTATGCTGCCTTTGACTTCATCCCCAAACCGCAGATATCCCAGAGTGGCTAGTGAGATATACAAGGTCATGACTATTCCCATCCCAATGTTCAATGCCTGTGGGAAACGTGTTGTGTCCTTCATTCTGTTTTCCAATGGCAGTACCTGGAAATAGAGGGAGAATCAATTACATTTTATGTCCTAAAACTACTTTTCTTCCTTATTTCAAAGCCAATTTCCAAAATTTTGCTGGTTTTATAAATAAATAAGATTATTCTACAATAATATTTTACAGCCTGAACTGTCACGGTGTTTTAGGTACCCAACAGAAACGTTCAATTACTTAAAAGCACTTATCTTGGTTGAAAAACATCATCAGTGTGGGAATATAAAGCAATATTTATAGGTTAGAAAAACTGTCAAGAGAAACTCATGGTGTCCAGATGCAAACACGTAGGCAATATGAGTAACATGAATTTTTTTGTAACAGAATTGTTCAGAATCCAAGGATATTTCTCCTACTTCTGTTAGGTATGCCTGCATTGTCAGTATCCCATCACAGACAAACCTACTGACACCCAAGCTCATGCTCAGCACTCAGCCTCAGCTCTCCCAGCAGGGAAGCTTGAGCCCATGACAACCAGAACACAGTCCCCCACTCTTTTTCATTTTTCTGACAAGAAATAGGGCAGGCCAGGCACACTAAGCACTGCTTTCTCTAAACATAGTGTATGTGCCTTGTGCCAGAACTATAGTCAATCTACCTTGCTGGGCTTGCCATCACTTCAAAGTGAAGACAGAGATGTTGCAACCATTACTACATGAAGTTTGCTGGAGAGACTGACTTTTACAAGTACTATATAACATTCAGGAAAATACACTTAGTAAGTTCCAACTTAAGTTTTTAGGCACCCAGATAAAATTTCTAGGCAAGGCAGTAAAACCAAGTAACAGGTTCACATGCTGTTCTTTCCAGCTTGAATTTCATCAGCATTAGCAGATCCTATTACATCATTAAACACAAGCTGAAGGTACATGCATGCTCCTAGATAACCATACCTTCCCTATCTCTTTCAGAGAACTGTACACTCAGATACTCAATATTAAAACACCTAATATAGTTACATCTAAATAAAACATCTAAGCTTCTATAATGAAGTTAGGTAATGAAGATCTAGTCAATATAGTCAGTGGAATAAAGTCCCCAGTTCAGCCTGTCTTTCAGTAGACATGCTGGTTATATTTGATTAACAGCATGGCACTGTTAATTAAACAAGCTTGTCATCTCTAGTTAGCACTTATGTTAATCTAATACAGACAAAACAGTCTCAGTGCAACAGGTTTGCCCTGTAAAAGCTCCTGTTTGTCACACAAAACTGCCTTTTAAATTACTCAATATCTACTATTCAATTTAAGCAATGTGAGTTATGAAAAAAAGGATATTTCATTCACTAATTAGCAAATAAATTTATATATTTGGATTACTAGTATATTATTTTCTATAGGGCAATCATTCCTTTCCTCCTAGTCACCCACTGACATTCACTTCCTGACTTATCACTGAGTATCACTACTGCCAATCCATCCCATATTATTCTATTTCTCCTACATTAGAAATCCCAAAGAAGTAATTTTACACTTGAGAACAAAGAGGTCTCTTAAAAAGTGCACATTTAGAGGCAATTTTCATTCCTATTCAATTAAAATACATTATACATCTTAACTTCTTTACATAATTTGGAGCCTACACTGCTGATGTTTTTCCTCCAGAAAAAAAATGTGAGCTTGGACTGTAACTTGATTTGGTGGGGAATGCAAAATTTAAACCAAGAAGAGTTTCAAAAATTAAATCTATTTTTAAATGACTGATGAGCAGCAGGAAAAATACAAAAGGAAATATGAGGCTTCAAGTATTACTTCAGTGTGACACAGACAAAACTTGCTGATTTCCCTGAATTAATTAAGCCTCTGTGCCCGTGTAGTGCTTATCAAGCCATCTTTTGATATTTAACATCAACAACTGCCAGTTAAAGCAGAGCACACCTCAGATTCTTTTGTCCTAGGTTGCAATTAGACGGTTTTAATACACCGCTTTATTAAGAGCGGTGAGGATGAAAATTAATGGCAATTTTTTCCTACACTGGAGTTCTCCCATTCTTGACTTCCTACTAACAGACAGCATTTGAGTCTGAACCAGTAACAGAAACTCATTCAGCGTGTTTCTGTTAATTCTCTGGTTATTATAAACGGAATATATTTTCTGCATATGCTCTGCCATGTTTTACAGCTTCTGGGAACCTTAACAAGCATGAATTGCTACTCTAAGATCTTATTCCAAGCTACATTATCTCTGCAGAGCTGTAATGGCAACTGCTCGCCCAGCAGATACCAGGAGTCTCTTAGTAAGTTCACTGGCCCACAGGTTTAATTTCCAGAGTCTCCAGTATTAATTTCATACACTCTTAGCAGAAGGAGGACTGTGAAGTCAGATACACATGCTGATCATGGAAAAAATCTCATGTTTTTCCACCATGACTGATGGCCAGAAAGGGATCCTTGAGACTGCCTGCCTCTCTGAACTTATAAAAGTAATCCACGGGTGAATAATTAATAGGGGAAAAAATTTCCTGTGGTTTCACAGTCAGAGGGAGTTAAAGACTATAAGAATGTTCATTATAATGGACCTGTTGGAACAGGTCCAGAAGAGGGCCACAAAAATGATCAGATGGATGGAGTACCTCTCCTACAAAGACAGGCTGAGAGAGCTAGGGCTGTTCAGTGTGGAACACACAAGGTTCCAGGGTGACCTTATTGCAGCCCTTCAATACTTATAGGGGGTCTATAAGAAAGATAGGGATAGACTTTTTACCAGTCCAAGCATTTACCCACCGCTGCCAAGTCCACCACTAAACCATGTCCCCAAGTGCCACATTTGCATGTCTTTTCAATATCTCCAGGGATGGTGACTCCACCACTTCCATGGGAAACCTGCTTCAGTGCTTGACAACCCTTCTTGTGAAGAAATTTGTCCAAATATCCAATCCAAAACTCCCCTGGATCAACTTGAGACTGCTTCCCCTTGTCCTGACCCTTATTACCTGGGAGCAGAGGCTGACCCCCACCAGCCTACAACCTCCTTTCAGGTAGTTGTAGAGAGTCAGAAGGTCTCCCTTGAGCTTCTCTTTTTCCAGGCTAACCAGCCCCAGCTACTTCGGATGGTTTTCATAAGACTTGTGCTCCACACCCTTCCCCAGCTCCATTGCCCTTCTCTGGACATGCTCCAGCACCTCAATGTCTTTCTTGTTGTGTCAGGCCCAAAACCAAACACAGGATTCAAGGTGTGGCCTCACCAGTGCCAAGTACAGGGGGGACGATCACTGCCCTGGTCCTGCTGGCCACACTATTGCTGATACAGGCCAGGGTGCCATTGGCCTTCTTGGCCACCTGGCCACACTGCTGGCTCATGTTCACCCACTGTTGACCAGCATCCCCAGGTTCTTTCCCACTGGGCAGCTTCCAGCACCCTTCCCCCAGCCTGTAGCACTGCCTGGGGTTGTTGCGACCCAAATGCACGACCCGGCACTTGGCCCTGTTGAACCTCATACAGCTGGCCTCAGCCCATCGATCCAGCCTGTCCAGATCCCTCTGCAAAGCCTTCCTACCCTCCAGCAGATCAACACTCCCACCCAGCTCAGTGTCATCTGTGAACTTGCTGAGGGTGGACTCGATCCCCCCGTCCTGATCACCGTGGCTTCCAACCATCACATCACCAGTCCTTCTCAGTTCACAAACAGCAGGTCCAGCAGGCACCTCCCCTGGTTGGCTCACTCACCAGCTGTGCCAGAAAGTTCTCTTCCACACACTCCAGGAACCTCCTAGACAGTTTCTTGTCTGCTATATTGTATTTCCAACAGACATCTGATAAGTTGAAATCCCCCATGAGAACAAGGGCCAGTGACCATGAGACTTCTCCCAGCTGCTTATAGAATATTTCATCTGCCTCTTTATCCTGGTTGAGTGGCATATAACAGACTCCAAACAGGATATCTGCCTTTTTAATCTTTTTACATTTTAACAAACTTCTTTTTACAGGCTGACAAGATTATCATACAATTGTCTATCTGAAACTTAGTTCATAAATGAAAATAAAGAGCCAGTGACACATACTATGTTCAGTGTGTTTTGACTCCAAAGGAAGCATTCAATTTTTTTTTAATTTCTAGCTATACTGCGATTTTTTATTAGCATTTCAACGTAGTCAATTTGAACACTTGCATTTCTCCAAGAAAAAAAGACTTCATTAAAAGAAAATTAAAAAACAATTTTAAACCATTATTGGACAATTTTCTTAAGCGTACTAACTCTCGTTTTTTAACTAACCATTAAACCAAGTTTAGTCATTAAACACAATATCATTTCCTGCACACTAATAAGTAGGTAAGAATAAACCTTACTCATCTAAATGTGTGTTCTCATATCACCAACCTCACTTTAACATTACAACCTTCATTTATTCTGAATTTAAGGAAAAGACACACTAAAAATATATAGGATAATATCACTAGTGAGACACATTAACATATTTAGATCTTGAAATTATATTTAAAGATACTAATTTATCCCTGCTTATCTTTGAATTATTATCAACACTAGATCTGCCTCCAGAGTGAACAGATGAGGATGCTAATGTAGCCTTTCCTGCATCACTCAGTACAAGCAAGAGTGTCCCTTCCCAGCCTCAGCACAAGCCTTCCCAGATTCAGGTACTCTCTCTGCATAGCAGAGACAGTTGCTGTAACTGCAGGAGGTGCTTCCCTTGGTAGAAATGATGCCCAAAGTAATTATGTGAAGAATTTGAGCCACGTTTTATACAGTATTCAGTATCACCTATTCCAGACAAAATGAAAAGTTCTGCACCTCGCTGAATTAACATGAAGCCAAGTAACAATCAATTTATATATATTGTATATTTATATATATTGTATATTACACAAACTCTGTGCTCCCTAAGCTGCTAAATTCCATCAGGATCCAAAGGATTAGTGAAGTGTTCACAAGGAGACAGGGGCTGACAGGAGATATGGTGTGAGCCAGTGCTTGTTCTGACACTGTGTCACTGTTGGGCAGCTGCTGGATAGATTTTCACGTAAAATTTCTTTCCAGTC